TATATATATATATATCCGTGCATAGAACTATGAATGCACTTTATTAAAACTTTTCCTACGTCAACGCGACATCCTCGTTCTGTCGTAAATGTAACAAAGTAATTATACTCCTTCCCAAGGTAAGTGTAAGGAGATCTCTCCCCGATAAACCTTGTTATCTTTCACGGGTGCTATAAAAGAAAAATGTGGATGCAGCCGAGAAATTGATGAACAGTTGCATCGTCCTCCTGTCAATTTACGTTGTGTTATTTGATAATCATTCGTGCAATTGACTCAACGTTTTGACAATACGTAGTTAAAAATCTCCACTTTAACAGTTACTGACAATAGATGTGTACAATTAAAGCATCTAACCATAAGTAAAAAAAAAGAATTATTCGTGTTTTAAATAAAACACCATGGACATCAAGAAATTGAAAGAATTCATGGAACTGGTGGGCAGATTAAAGGTAAGATAAAATTTATTATTATAATTATGATAGAAAGATTTTTCAAGGTAACTCTATGTAGTAAATATAAATTTATCATTTCTGTGCACATGTATGTTGTATGCATATGTTAAGTATCCATTTTTAGCATTCTTAATCAGCTAGGATCTACATATGTACATATAATTTTGCTCAAAATTATACATTTGTTATACAATGATTAAAAAAGTATATTGTTTATTACTGTTAAAGTGAGATAAAATGTGAAATAAAATGTGAAATCTTTATATCTTATCTTAAATATTCAAATGTTTATTTCTTACATATTTTTTGAAAATATTATTAGCCATTTTTTCAAATCAAAGATTAACAAGATTTTTGTTTTATGATTTTAGCACATGAAAAGAACAGGATGGGTTCTTAAGAATGTATCTGATCCGGAAACGATTGCGGGTCACATGTACAGAATGGCTATGCTTTCTTTCTTAGTAGATAATAATGAGAATTTAGACAAAGTCAAGTATGAAATGGTATTATTTATATCATCTGATTATGACTTGTATTAATGAAAGTTTTATATCTATAAATTATTCTTTTGTCAAATACAGAATCATGCAGATGACTTTAATCCATGACTTAGCAGAATGTATCGTTGGAGATATAACACCTTATTGTGGTATTCCACCTGATGTAAAACACAAACTAGAGGATGAAGCTATGGAGAACATTTGTAAACTCCTTGGAGACAGAGGACCTATGATATTGGAAATGTTTCGTGTATGTAGAATTGAAATAAATTATAGATACAATAAAATATACATATAAATTATAATTAGTAATTCATATTTTTTCTTTATTTACAGGAATATGAGAAACAAGAATCCCCAGAAGCAAAATATGTCAAAGACTTAGACAGATTAGATTTAATTATGCAAGCATATGAATATGAAAAAAGAGATAATATTCCTGGAAAGTTAGAGGAGTTTTTTTCCGCAACTGATGGAAAAATAGGACATCCTTTTATTAAGCAATTGGCATCTGAAATTACTGCAACAAGACGAGCTCTATGTTGCAGTTCAGCTAGTTCAATATAAGTCTTTATCTGTTCAGGGAAACAAAACATCATATGTTTCATATATTTAATAGTTATATAATATAATATTTAATAGTTATATAATACAATAATATAATAATATTTTGATAGAGAATAAAGATACATGTTTAAAACTACCATTTCAAAAATTTAAAATATTAAAATATTTGATGTACTAATATTTTTCTTTATTTTCTGTGAAAATAGAAGCCTACATAAGTATCTTAACCAAATTTATTTAACAGCGAAATATTATAATATCGAGACAAACATTTTGAAATTTAATATCAATTAATTTTAAATTTATTAAATTATTCGATTTTGTTTGCGATAAATAAACAAAATTTTTAGTGAAGATTGATAAAGATGAAGTTCAAAGGTTAATGATAAGATAAAGCAAATGATCATTAATTCAATTTGTGTATCCTTATTTGATTTCATAATTTAAATTAGAATTATTATTATTTATTTAAGAAATTAATATATGCAATAAATAATATGTACAATTTTATGGAAATATATAAAGAAATTATTAAATGTATTGTATTGTTTTCTTTTAATTCTAGATTATATATATATATCTACAAACTCATTCTTTAATACAGTTTATAATAAAAGTAAACAAAAATGACTAATAATATTTATAAAATCAGATAAAGTGTTTATATGCTCTTTTTATATGCTTTTTTTATACGAGGTTTCATGTTAGTAAAAATACATTTTACAGCATTAGATTTTTATGTAAAAAAGTCAACATTTATTACTGTTAATATTACATGTTGAACATAAAACATATTATTGTGACTGTAGTTATAAATACAAAAACATAAGCAACGAAATGTTAATATATAATAAATCAACATGAAAAATACCTGTTTCTGCAATAAAATCTTTGCATTTCTACTTTATTACAAATTAGTAACAAGAAGTACTTGACGTGAAAAATTTTATTGACATAAAACAAAAACCATTAACGTCAAAACTCTGAAATTTTTTTATTATATAATTAAAATATATTTGAAATCCATAGCTTTGTTAATAACAGACGGAATTACGTTACTTGATATTACTTTAAAGAATGATTAAATTTTTTAATAAACTATAAAAATGTTTGCAAATAACACATTATATTTTTTTCACATGTTCAACATAATATTTGTAGTATGCAATGCTAAAATATTATGTATATTTCCTTTTTGACGCGGAGACCGCTTGTTTTATCGATATTTGTTTGTTGAATCAATCTTCGACAGAAATCTGATTTAATATCAAATCCCCACTACTTATTTTCTTATATTGCTTTTTTATCATATAAAAACATTTTTAAATGCAGGTGAAAAAGTAATTAAGTAAAGAATTTGGAAAGAGAATCTATAACTGAAGAAGCAATTACACGTAATAGCTGAATTAGCATCAGCCTAAGGTAAGTAAATTGATTGTCATTAAGTACTATGAATCATGCAAGGTTAGTGTGTAAACTAACCTTCACAAAATGTATTTCTAGGAAAGAAGTAGATAGATAAATATCAAGAGTAGATATTTGTACGCTTATTACGCGAAAGAATGTACAAGTTTAAACAAGTCTAAAACAATTATACAACGTTAAGAAAAAAGCTGACCAAAGGAAGTTGTTTTAAATCACATTTTTTATTAATATGGACTCCTTAAGGTACACTATGTCAGACGAGGGTGCCAATTTTACTTATGAGAAATTTTGTGCGATGTGTAAATTACTTTTCAACATGAACAACATTGACGAAAAGGACGAATGGAGGTTGCGGGAGATTTTTGACTTATTTGACCTAGATAAAGATGGCGTGTTGAAGGAACGAGAAATGAAGATGTAAATATGAATTTATGTTCTTATATATTAAAATGAATAATTGATAATTTCCTTTTTTTTGGAACATATGAGGATTATATTTAAGTTAATTGCGTTTTACGAATGTAACTTGTATAACGTTAAAGATATATACGTATCAATGCTGTAAATTCATTTGAACATAGTTTATTTTGCACAAGAATGAAAGTGACTATAATGACATATTCTATGAGTAACTAAAACAATATTCGAATCAATTGTCGAAATATTACATTAGTTGATTCATAAGTTTTCTCTTACAGAAAAAAATTACCGAAGATTATTAAAATATAATATTCAAAACATAATCAAAATTATTGAAAATTTTTTTAGTAATGAAGTTCAATTACTGCAAGTTTACTGGATAATAGTAATATTATATGATAGTAAAATGCTGGGGTTCCAGTAAAGTAATATATTAAATTTAATCTATATGTATTACTGAATTTCATCAGTATATTAGTGTTAACAATAAATAATGACAAACTAGTGATCTAAATTTAACTAACTTAAAATAAGGAATTTTTGATAATGTTATTTATAACGTTAATGTATTTTGTTAGAGTATTTTCTCTCAGGTATATGTTCTATTAAGAAACATATTTTAACTCTAGAAAAAAAGAACAGAGTAATATACATATATAGGCAACTTATAATTCCATAAATAATTAAACTGAAATATAGTAAATAAAAATTTAAATAATAAATAGCAACATAAAATAGAAATGTAACACAATATGTGTATATATAAATATTAATCTGTAGTTTATCCTTTCTTCTTTCTAGTTGTGCCATTTGAAGCTCACAATTTAGAAATAACTTTAAGTCAAATTTTAGATTAACTTAAAGATTGAAATAAGTTAATTAAAATATAAAAAATTATACTGCTCTTTATACTGTTGTAAATCAGCTATTAATATTTTCTGTAAGGGTGTGTCTTTTCTTTTATTATTTTCTTTGCAATCTTCTGATAATTTTTGAATTTCTTGCTTGAAGAATCCTGTCATTTTTAACGGCACAATAATCTTTGAATCATTCATTGTTACATAAGAAAAAAGTAATAGATAATTGATAAATATAGTTTTTAAATAATATTTTTGTTAAATTGTAAGACCGAGCGTTATCGTATTAAAATAATATCTTTTATCAATTTATTATTAGCTACTTTGATAAGTTGTAATATCTGAACCTTTATAAAATTTCATATTTTAATGCTGTCATAAAAGAAGAAAACAAGCTATCAAACATAACCAATACGCAGTATTATGACACAGTTAATAAGAAATAAAAACTACATGAACTTATGGACTAACCTAGTATTAATTCTTCTGTTTAAAACACTCAGATTTAATTACTGTTTTACTCAATTAACAGATTTTCGGATTGGACACAAAAGATAAAAGAGTCTAAATACGCTCTTTTGATCGTAGACGTTCAAAATGATTTTATTGATGGCTCCTTATCTCTTCGTACTTGCGAAGGCAAGCAGGATGGAGTTGATGTGGTGGGGCCAATTAATCATTTAGTGCAAAATGGATGTTTCGATAAAATTATTTATTCGTTAGACTGGCATCCGGAAGATCATATCAGTTTTTATGAAAATTTACATTTGCGGAAATTGCATCCTGATTCAAAGGTATATATATATATATTAGACTGTAAAATTATATAAAATATTTAAAGCATAGAATATGACTATAATATTAGTAAGTAATTAGTATTAATAAAGTAAAACAATTCTCTATTGAAATTCTATTTTTAAAATTACATTTGTAAAAATGAATTTATAAAAATTTGATAATATGTATTGTGATGTTATCATGTCATGAAATGTAGATATTCCTTAACTTCCATATTGTTGAAGTGATAAGGATGAATGTCAGTAATTGAGTTTTATCAACAATTTGAGTTTTATCATTATTTATCAAACTTTTAAATATTTGAGTTTTATCATTTCTTATTACATACATACTTATTACATAATATTTTATGTTGAATTTTAATGTCTTTATTCATACAAAATGTTTCATTTTAATCACATTTCGTTAAACAAGAATAATATATGTTCTCTTCTTTTTTTTTGATTGCACTGAAATAACATAGATCATTTTTATCAAGCAGGAAATAGAAGTATGAGACAATAATAAAATTTTTCATTATGCATAGGTGAAAAAAGAAGATGCTAAGCTATTTGATACAGTTATATTTGCGGATCCTTATTTGGAACAAATTCTCTGGCCTAAGCATTGTGTGATGAACACATGGGGAGCTGAATTACACAAAGATCTTGTGATTGCACCAGATTCAGTACAGGTATCTTTGGTATTTCATTATAGTAAAATATTTTAACTTAAATATTTTAATTTATCAATAAAATGAAAATAAAATGATAATTACATAAAAAGAAAATGAAATGATAATTATACTTTCCTCTTTAGATACGTAAGGGTCAAAACCGAGATATGGAGGCTTATTCCGTGTTTTTTGATAATAATTTTAAAGGATCAATGGAATTACAAGAAATTCTAAAGAAACACGGTGTGGATCGCGTTTTCGTGTGTGGCCTTGCTTATGACATTTGTGTGAAATCAACATGCTTGGACGGCCTTCAATTAGGTTACGCAATAGCTATTGTCAATGATTGTTGCCGCGGTGTTACTGCGCCTGATACTGAAGCGACTAAAAAACTAATCTGTGAGAATGGAGGTTTGATTACTAACAGCAATGATGTTCTTGCAATGGTAAATGAAGGAAAACAAAGCCTCGTTTTGGCTCATAAAATTGCAAAGTCTATGACTTCAATTGAAACCTGTGAAAAACCAGAAAATAATATTTCATAGTTAATTGAAAAAAATTTAGATTGTTTCAAAAATAGGTTGTAATAAGATCTCTGAATGATCTAAAACTTATTTTTTATATATTTTTTCAATATTTAAAACAAATCATTTTATATATAATGAATTATATATAATGAATTATATATAATGAATTATTCTTAGTTTATCGTACTTAAATAATTTGCAGTATTTGTATCGATATGAGCTTGAAATAGTTTCAACATTAGTTGAACTTGACATGATTCATTGTAGTCAGTACATTCCCTAAAATAGAGTGAAAATAATTCTAGCAAAGTGAGAGAGGCAATGCATTTTGTTAAACTTATTTAATTTTGATTTTTATTTCTCATACGTTAGTTAGTCTAAATAATGATGTAGGTACTTAACGTAGGTACTTAATGTGAACAAAATGCTTCAGTTACTTCAAGTGAAATAATGCACTAGATTTTCTGACAGTATTATAAATAGTGGTACAATAAATAAACTACATGTACATGTAATAAATACAAATTATTACATATCAGTCTATTAAACTAAACTAAACCACCGATTTTTTCTGCATTTATGGAAAATTTTGAAGTACAAAATTGAAAAAAATATATAAAACATTCGAAGTACCTTTTTTAATATTTAGTACATAAAACTTTTAATTGTATAATTTTTTACTAAAATTCTATTTTCTTAATCCTTTAAGTGTTTAAAATTACCAAAAATCTAAAAGTTATCTATATGATATTCTAGTACAAACTAAACAGTCAAAGGATTAAATGACATCCTTAAGAGTGATATTCTTAAGAATCAGCATAAAAATCCAAGATCTAGTTGCAGTAATTGACACTATTCATTCATTAGCATTCTTGCAGTTTTTTCAATTTTATTTGCTGACTCATCATCTTTCATTAATTTGCAAGCGTATCTGTGTTTAGCACCACAATCATCGCTTTGATAAGAGTACAATCTAGACGTTGAATTGTAGGATAATTTTAGACATCTAAAAATATAATCACGAAAACATAAATATTTATAAATATTAAATGTATATTAAAAATATAATGTGATTAATCATTAATATTAATTAACACGTATTTAATAACGTAGTAATATATGTATATTTAATATCAAAATGAAGCAAATTTACCTGCCATCACCAGAGACAGTGTATTTCGTATCTTGATATACTGGTTTTGCACTGCTAGCCCAAATCCAAAGAAGACCTGGATTCAATCCTCCTGTCCAAAAAGTTTTACCTTTTAATTTAGAATTTGTTTGCAAACTAGTTAATACATCCTGTTTTTCGTCTTTTGTATCAAATTCCAACAAATAACCGCCCATTCCTCGACAGAGACTGGCCGATGACTTCCAGTCGAAGTCACGATTGCTGAAGTGATAGCAATTTTCACCAA